TCTATGATTCTATGATTCTTTCTCAAAGCAAAACTTCAGCAGAGTCTGCAGCAATGCTGTGCTCTTATGGTATATGACCTCCATAAATGCCTCTGTCTTCGCATTAGAGTCCAGTACCTGCTGGCCGAGGAAAGAGTTCCCAATGCCTATCTGTACCTACTAGAACAGAAAGAAGCCTGTGCCGTCTAGTACGTGTGTTTCTCTATCTGTGTATGTATATATTTGTGCATCGTAACCAAGTAGGAAGTGTATTTTATTGGCCCAAGTTTCTCTGGTTTGTTTGGGTTTTTTTTTTGCATGTTTGTTTTTCTTTGGCATTTAAATATTTTCATCTTGAATCTTGGTTCCAAGATCAAAATCTCTTGATCTCTGCTCACAAACAGAAACCAAGCAAACAAACATGATTAAGTTTCATTGAAATACCATTTTCAACAACAGTGTCTTATTTTGGTGTTAACCTTTTACTAAGAAGCTTAATTGTGAAATAATTTCATAGTGAAAAGTAGATCCTCTGAAAATCTCACAGTAGGGCATTTAGATGGGTTTTGAAACTTTAAAAAACATTTTGAATGGTAAATGACATCAGCCATTTCTACAGGAATATTCACTTTATTAAACTGTTGGGTGTTTTTTTCTGAAAAAAAAGCCATGTTACCTAATTTCTAATCAAGGCCTCCTGATGTGCACAGTCTTTGTTGATGAGCAGTGATGTTAGTGAAGTTGGGATACAGCCTCGCTGCAATTATTCACGCAGAAGCGCGCAGATATCCCTACATTGGTACACAGAGAGCATATTTTCCATGCATTATGCATGGGATTTTCTCCAGCTGGCCTCCTGACTCACGCTCCCCCGCCTTCCCAAGTGTCTGCGGCTGAGCGCAGGACCACCTCATTTCTCCCACTGGGAGAAGCTCGGTGCCAAACCCTGGGCTCCCGGCGGGTGGAAGGGCCTTCCAGACATCCCTAGTCCGACCTCCTGCTCAAAGCAGGTCCGGTCAGAGCTGGCTGCTCTAACCAAGAGCCTTGCCCAGCTGAGTTTTGAAACAACCTCCCTTCCCTGGGCCCCTCTTCCAAGGTCTGACCACCCTCATAGTGAAATTTCTTTGTATCAGGTGGGAATTTCTCCCGTTCCCATTTGTGCCTGTTGCTTTAACGTCCCTCTGCTGTGCAGCTCTGAGAAGGGTCTGGCTCTGCCTTCTCTACACCCTCCCTTAAGCACTTGTGGACAGCAATAAGATCTCCCCAGTCGTCTTTTCCTAAAAGAATAAACAGTTCTCCCACCCTCTCCCCGTGCTGTGTGCTCCCAGCCTTGGACAGTTTTGGTGACCTCTCTGGACTGGCTCCAGGTTGTCAATGTCTTTCTGGTAGGAGGGAGCCCAAAACTGGACATGATACCCCACGCTGGCTTACAAGGGCTTGAACAGAGGGAAACGATCAGTTCCTTCAAGCTGCTGGCTACACTCTGGTTGGTACAGCCCAGTCTGCAGTTGTCCTTGAACTACGAACTAGGAAAATGTGTGAAACTGGTCTGCAGAGAGGGACTCTGGAGCTGCCCTGTGTTCAGCTGGGTCTGCGAGAAGGGCTGCGGGGTGGCGGCAGTTGGGTGTTGGACACAGCGTGATAGGTGGCTTAGCATGAACATTGTGTAATGTCCCTCACAGCGTCCATCGCATGCCTTGCCACAGGGTTCTCACGCAAACCGGCCGATGGGTCTGCAGCTGGGACGAGCTGAAGGAAGCATGGGTCTTCAACCTCGAAAAAGGTTAGCTAGAGATGATAGGAAGAGAGGGACCCACCTTACATTTCCACTAAGCCCTGCCTCTTGGAGAGGCTGGTACAACCAAGGCCTTGGCAGCGTGATTTCAATGAAATGATGTTTCTGAGGGGTGGACAGGACTAAAAGAAGCCAAGGTGAAAGCACTGGGGTAGGGTGTGATGTTGGACCTTGTCACCCCTGAGCAACAAGACTTGGCCTCTTTCTAGAGGGTCATCTCTTCTTGCAGTTGGCCACAGCAGATGGTTTTCCAGATGAAGGTCTCTGCACACACGCTGACTCTTTGAAAGCTACTGTTAATGTGTTGAAGATGATGTGAACCAGTGACACGTAGATTTAGAGTCTGTCAAATGAGCTAAGGAAATAAAGCTTCATTCAGTTCATTCAATGTAATAAATAATGAACCTATGAAAGGACTTCACAAAACAGTAAAAACAGAAATACTTCACAGAAATAGAAGATGTCAGTTTTTTATTTCTTTCTATTTCACATGGCTGTTAGGTCTGTGGACTTGTGAGTTAATAAATGTTATGGAATTAGACATGGACTGTAGTTTTAACCTGCTGTTCAGAATGGCTTCTCATGTCTGATTTCAAAGACTTAGGTGGTCATTATCGTAAAATTATTGCATGTCTTAATTGTAGTAATAACTAAACATTGGCCATTATGATGAAGTAATTAAACATTCTCAATTGTTAATAGCCTTGTATGCTACTATAATTAATTTGTTGCTGTCCTAACAGGAAAAGAAATGAACAGACGTAGATGGGTGATGCTTTTATTAAGGCTTCAGTGCTGACTCTCCCACTTAAGTGACCCCACGTATTTGATTATAGCAATTGTGAGCTCCGGGCTGTTAGTTTTAAAAACCTCTAAAAAGGAATCTTTTATTTTACCTGTGTGCAGTGCTTTTATTCTCACTAGTCAGTAAATAACAGCAATTGTTTCTTGGTGGTTTCGGCATTGTCCATCAGCAATGACATGCGGTGTTCCTAGGAGCAAGCAGTGTGGATCGGAGCCTTACGCTTACACAGAGCATAGACCCTTGCATTTATTCAGTGGTAAAGTACTGGGTTTATTCCCTCACTACACAGATATTAAATGAAGCCGGTCGTCTGGTTTAAATTCTGTGCTCTTCATCCTTACAGTGCAGGAGAAGCCGTTGGTAGAACAATTGCTAGAAAGTTGTTATCTTTTCAGGAAATGAATCATATTAGACTTACACGAGAAGAGAAACACCCCCCCCTCAACTTTGGAAATCTTAAAATAGCACCCAGATATAAGAGCTACAGCTAAAGAAAGGCAGAGTTACTATCAACTATGTTTACTAAACGTTAAAGGCACATAAGTAGGAAAGGTTTAAAACACTGGGTTCCTCCTGCTAGAGCAGCCTCACTCCGAGAAAATGCTGCATGTCGTTTGTTGAATTAGGCCGGAGCAGCTACATGTCTTTTAAAGCTATCCTCAACAACACAGGGCTTGCTTTGTTTTGCCAGAGAGATAGCAAAACAAGAAAAATCTCCGTACAGCGCGCACATTGAAGGCTCTCTGAGTCTGCCTGCACAATGAAATTGTTCTGATTGAACTCTGACAAATTATAACCTGCAGGTATAACAAGGATTTTCCATTTTTGCCTAACATGTATACATTTTGTCCCTTCCATTTTTCCTTTCCGGCAATGCATTCAGCACAGCAAGGGCTGGAAAGAAATCTGATTGTGAAACAGATAAATTGTCTTACATAGTTTCCCTATTTTGGCCATTGCCATGGTCTGGTTCGGAAAGTGCTTGGAATCCTCCTTCTCTCACTTTGTTTTAACAAGCTGCTGCTCGGTTGCCCATTGCCAGTGCTGTGTTACCTACAGTGCACATTACTTCTTTTGTCTGTCTCATATTCCACGTGGACTCCAAGCAGCCGTGCTGTAAAAGCAGAGGAGAGGGTTTATTTTTATCACTCACTTCTTCTTGTGAGAAAAAAAAACCCCTTGGCCCTGCCCTCTCTACTGGCTTCCTCTTAGCACAGGCGTTTGCATCTTGGCAAATGGGGTCTGTAAAATGCTACTGAATTAAATCAGCAGTGTTTCATATTTGTTTTGCAATCACCGTGACAGACTCTTTGCTGGTCGAAATAGCTGCAATCTCATTGACTCCAGTGGAGTTTTCTGTCTTTGCCTGCAGAGGGAATTGGCTCAGCCTGGACAGGTGGCCAGAAGTCAGGACAGATGACAAACAGGAGAGGATCAGCCCCTGTGATTTCAGGTCTGATCGCAGTTGTTTGTAATTCTCCTGTACACTCACAGAAGACACTTCATGTGTTAAAACTTGCTGCAAGCCTTTGATATCTTTGACCTTTCTAAACAAGTCTTTTAAATTTTGATATTCCCTAAGAAGACAGATGGTATTTTTTTGATTGAATAGATAGAGATTTCATGTCGAAACGCATTTCTTGGTTTCACTTTGTTGGGCTTGTTAACTGCTCTCTGTATGTTCTATGCTGCTCACAATCTTTTCTTACAATTTATTTTTGAATGATACTATGAAAAAGTTACAGAGAATTAAACGTGCAGAAATCCTCCTGGAAAACATTAGTAATGTCCTGCTAAGAATCTCCCTTTGGATCCAAATGTGGATGTTCATGTACATACAGTCTCACCTGCAGCAACACTTCCAAGCCAAAAATTGCCCTTGATAGCTTCTGATTGGACCAGATGTTTGAGTCCAGGTGCCCTCAGTAACCAGGCACTGATCCTCTGGAAGTAGGTAGGGAAGCTGTGGAAGAATTGCAAAGCCTATCAAAGTTGTGGATGCTCCCTCCCTGGAAGTGTTCAAGGCCAGGCTGGACAAGGCTTTTGGTGTCCCTGCCCATGGCAGGGGAGTGGAACTACATGGTCTAAAGGTCCCTTCCAACCCAAACCATCCTGTGCTTCTGTGATAAAAGATGTGACTCTGGAGAGGGTGAGAAAGAGCCCTCCAAGTACTGATGCTGAGCCTGGGACACGTGGTGCAGTGCATCTCTTTGGTTGCAGTCTTATGAAACAACAGCAGAAGTACCAGAACAGGTGCCCTATTTCCTTCTTCCATCACCTGAGTAAGTCACCTGGAAACAGGGCAAATGATACATTTCCAACAAAATAAGGAAATCCCTCTGAGCAGTTCTCATTTACAGCCCAATCATAAAAATCCTGGCAAAACATCAAAGCGTTTCCATGTCAATTCACGCACAGCACGATATTGCACGGTCGGTGTCAACAGTCAAATGGCTGGGGAAGGGACAGAAGACAGAGGCTGGTGTGTTCTTGGTGCTGCAGTTCAGAGAGAAGATGAAATCATGGTAGTTCAACATTTGGTGGGGACTTAACTAGTGATTTTCTGGCTTTCTGTTTATGCTGGAATAAAATCTGCTTTTGCTTGGAAAAAAAAAATTGGTTGTTAGGAATGTGTATGCCTGTGTTTGGCCCTAATTATTTAACAAAACCTTCAAACCCAAGAAATACAACTACCTACTTTTGCAGAGCTGGAGGAGAACATAGCTGCAATCTTTGCCTGGTGCTGAGGTGGTTGCAGCACTGCATTTGTAAGGGCTTTTTTTTATCATAATGGACAGAGAGTGACCTTATAAACAGGTGCATGGTACAGGAAAAAAAAAAAACAGGCCATATTTTTGGCCTTGGCCATATTGTTTATGCCTTTAGCAAGTGCCTTTAGCAATTTCTTAACTTAGTATTTAAAGCTTGTTTTCTCCCCATAGTACAGACCCAGGACACATGGCTGAAGCTGCATATGGAGCATCAGACTTCCATTGGGGAGCTGGAAAATCTGTCTGTTTATTGTAGTTTCAGATTTTGGCTTGGGTCAGGAACAAATTTTTCAAATTTTCAAAGTATTTTGCTATATTGTTCCTTGTGACATTTTTGTGTTTATTTCAGACACTGAGAAAGGAAATAAGAAAAATTTCCAAACAGATTCTCCACTTAGTCTCACTTAAATCGAGAGCCAGATTTCATACAGAGACCTTAAGCATTTGGTACTTTAGGAGATGATAATTTTCAGAAGGGTGGTTTTCTTTGGTGGTATTCTGAATGTCTCAGTTCTTGGCTGCCAGACTAGTAGGTTGAGAAACTTTGAGGCTGCCTGCTGATCGGGATCATCTGAGATCTGAGTCTGTTTAACGAATCTCAGATTGAGCATCCAAAAGCAGAAACACTCCAACTCGTCAGTCACTCTGAGAGATCTTGGCCTAACCTTATCAATTAAGAACAGTAGTTCCCCAGTAGAAAAGAAACATGATGATGTGTTTCCAGTGACACTCATCATATTATTGGCCACTTACATTTATTTATCAAAGATATGCCTTTGTTTCACTTTGGAAATGTAAATCAACATCAGCATAACTTTGGGTACCTTGTGTGTCTGTGTGTTCATATGTATTTTACACTAATGTTTGATGACTTGCCCTTCAATGGTCTCTTTAAAAAGGCAACTCTTGGTCTAATAAAATTAAGACTTCGCAGAAACGCGTCACATATGGGGTGCTAGAATATTTACAGTAATATTCTGCTACACTGCTACACAGCAGAATATTAGTGTAAAACTGCTGTTGCTCCTGGTAGGCTTTGGGTTCATTCCACCGTCACCTGAAAGTTTTAGTCTGTGAGTCTTAAAGAGTTTTTTTTGGATAAAATTATAAGGTGGTGTAGAAGTGAAATGTGGAACATTTTGGAGAAGGGTGCAGTGCTATACATAATGTATTGGGCACTGTTTGTACAGTCAATTGTTAAGTTATAAATAAAATACAGCCTTAAAACAAAGATGAAAGGGTGAAACCGTGGGTAGTTACTTCCTCTGTATTTCTATTTAAAAAAAAAAAAAGTTTCCAAATTTGTTCAGTCACATTTTGGTTTGGTTATTGATATTCACAGTGTTGTGCCTATTTTTGGATGTATCGCATCGACAACTTTCTTCTCTGCCAGAGTGCCTTTTCCTCCAGTAAATCTTCTGCAGGCTGCAGGACTGTTCTTAAAGCTCGGTGAGGTGCCCAGGCACAGCCAAGGGGAAACCACAGGGAGGCAAATGAGCCTCTGTCATACTGGATTTCCAGGTCCCAGAGCTACCGAAGAACAGCTTGACTTGCTTCATCAACATAAGGACCCTCCCTCAGTGGCTGTTCCAGTTTGTCACCTGCCACCGTGGTGGTCACCCCCATCCCCTCTGACCCTCAGCTCTCACTTCTTTTGGGTGGAGGGCACTGGGGGTTGGCACAGGGACCAGCTCCGCAGTCTGCACCAGGCGGATGCTTTTAAAAGTCTCTCAAACTGGAGAAACGCTGAACCCATTTAAGATCATTAAAAATGAGTTTAGTGGATTTAAACACACAGTCCATACACTTTTCAGAATAAGTTATTACAGGTCTTTGCAGTGGTGCTCAGAATGAGGAAAGAGGTTTCTACTTACAGCCTCTGAGCAGGCTTTTTATCTGTGGTGGAGGTATTTCCTTAATGTGAGTAGGAATAGCACAGGGTGGGCCTGATGAAACTTTCATCAGGAGTAAAATAAATCATTTTATTATGGGTTATGGGCTAAGCATCCCTTGCAGGTACTGCAGAGCCGCAGGAGGTGCCTGGTTTGAAATCTCCCAGTTCTCTTACAAGTGCTGCTGATGCAGAGCTGTGATGCTGAGCAAAACATTCTGGCTGCTGAAGAAGAAAGACATGACCAATTTGGATTTAGGAGTGAAACATTTCCTAGAACTGAGCCTGAATAAATTCTGGAACAGTTGAACAGGAAATAAGCTAATAATGGGATTTTACAATATGCATTTCCCATATAAGGCATTGAAATGTGGCATGGATGTGTTTGTTGATCTTATGGCTATTTTGATGAAAATTTTAGGTTTCTTCCCTATTTGTGCTCCATACCCATTGTGAGGAATTTGCGCCATTCCAGGCGGAAGCGTTTCATCCCGCCACTGTCATTGGTGCTCCCTGGATGGACCATTCCTAGGCCAGACTAGGGAAGAGGCCAGTTAACAATTCCTCCTTGCTGCCTTTTGTTTGTGTCGGGGAGCTATTTCCTTTAGCCCTTGAGAGTGATGCATAGGAAGGGGAAGAGAGGTGGGGAGTGCCCGTCTCACTGTGGTTCATGCTTCTCAAAATAAGTTCCCCAAAATCTGATGTGGGGAAAGGAAGCCCTGGCTCCAGGGAGCCTGCTGTCTCCCTCAATAAACAAAGGACTGGATTTGGGCAAGTTGCCCAACGTGTTGGTGCAGGGTGCATTCCCATCCTTACTGCTCTGCCTGGCCTTTTAAGGATATGTGACAGTATGCTGGAGACCACAGTAAGGTGTGTAATTCAGTGATGATTAATGAACACAAGGCTCTTCCGCAGCGTCGGTGTTTCTGTAGCATTGGTCAAATTCCCTTCTCACGAATAGCTCACTAGGATTTTCAGAGTTTGGCCTCTTCTGCTCTGTGAGTGCAATCTCTTGCCAGCTCTTATGCTCCTTTAATTTAGAGCCATCCACCTTTCCAAATGTGCTCTGGATTGTGGAACAGGTTTTGCTTGTAAATGTGAGGCCAGATGTTCAGAAGAGGAGAGCTCCTGTTTAGGCATCTAGCAATTACTGACTGCTGTGACACATGCAGCTGAAAATCTGAAATCTGTCTGCTTAGACAATAAAATCCTCAGGCTGGCTAGTTTGTGCAGTGCTATTCGGAGTGGCCTATATGCATATAATTCGGGAGTTCTTTCAAAATAGCGTGCGCTGAATCACAGTCTCAGTTTTAAACCACAGCTTGTGCCGAACTAGTTACTTGGATTTCTTGCCAAGCGGGGGCTTATTTTCCAGTTACAACTAACATTTTCCTTTTCTTCTGCAAAATCTGTTAATGAAGGCTAAATGAAACAATGAAGGTAGACCTTCTGGCTAGATACAGGTCTGATTCACTAATAAACGTTTCTTTCTGTTTTCAGTGACATATTCGATGCCATGTTCCCTGTCACACACATAGCAGGAGAAACAGTCATACAACAGGGTAATTCTTCCTCTCATTTTTTCCCTTACATGTTTGCTAAGATTGTACAGTTGACATCTGTCCATTTGGGATTTCACCCTTCTTGCTTAACAGGAAGAATAACCATATTCCAAAAGCTTTTAGGTGTACAGCTGTATCCTAAATTCATGGATGCAGGTCTTTTGCTACATGTGCAGAGATCATTTGCAAAACCACACAGGTAGATCTCCGAGTGCTACAGGTAAATGTAGGTAAATAGCACTTGAAATTAAAATGTTCATTCCTTAACTGAAGACAGTCAGGAAGTAAACCACAGCTCAGAATGCGTCAGGGTGGCATAGGCTAGCTGAGAGTAATTAGAGATAGAAAATATTTTTATGGTTGTTGGGAATATTCAACACCTCATTTGCTGTATCGCAGTTATCGCACTTGGCAGCTTACCTGCGTGCCTGCAGCATGTTGTGAAGGACTTCATTACCCTCCGGCTATATTAAAGCCTCTTGTGTGTTTGCACTGAATGAAGTGTTGAATCAATCAAAAGAGATAAATTGGTGCAATTGAAAGATATTAATAGGAAGAAATCATAGCAATATTTTGATTTATGAAGGCAAATAGGCAAGCGTGTTTCAGAAAATGGATCTCTCTGTAAGTGATGTGGTGTACAAACCTGTGCAAATATGTACAGGATTAAATACGGAGACAGGAAATTACTGAATAGTTTAGCAGACCTCCAGGAAACAATCACCTTTTGTATTTTGCTTCCAGGTGATGAAGGAGACAACTTCTACGTGATTGACCAAGGCGAGGTGGACGTAAGTACACTCTTACAGTGTAGTATTTATTTTGAAGCTGTATAATAGATTTGTATGCTCTGGCACACAGCTTGATCCAGCCATGTGCTGTGGTTCTGTCTCCTTTCTTCTTGAAAAAGATTTCACAGGATTGCTCTCATTACTTTGCTTTTGTTGTGCTAAGTCATTTGTGCATAATTTTATAATTGGCATGTTTTACATTCTAGCTTATTTGTCCATTCCGAGCAGGAAGATATGGTATCAAACCCAAGCAAATGACATTATCTTCAGAATCCTAACCACACCTGGAGGTGTGCAGTCTTTGGCAGAGCAGGCCACCATGCTGGAATGCACCTGAGGGTTCAGATCAACCATAGGGAAAATATTTTCTTTAATCAGTTAGCTTAGCTCATGTGATGGTTTTTTTCTTTTTTTACCAAATTGAGATGCAGCCTGAGGCAGCGAGTTTCATCTTAGAAACCTTAATTTGCTTTTAAAATTAGGTCCAAATCTACGAACAATGCAGCATATTAATAAAGCAAGGATTATTATAAGTGTAGAGTGATCTGTTAGACCACAGACTGTTCACAGGAGTATGCAGTGGTTTAATCAGCAAGTCTTTGAAAAGAAGCTTCATTCTGAACCTGCCTTCCAAATCGTAATCTGTTCACCTCTTATCATTTTTATCGTCTATGAAACTCACCTTTTTGCAGTTTTGCTGCAAGTTCCTCATCTGACTGAGTTTTCCTAACACACCTTACATATCCACAGCTGTCGGATAGGACAGGCTTGCTCATTAGCAACGTTGCTCTTCGGATGAGCTTTGTTTGGCATATTTAAAGAAGAAAGTGATGTATTTTAAATCTGGGCAGGAGGCATATAGTTATTTTAGTGAAAGTTATTTTTTTTAGCAGTCTGTTTGTGTCAGGAGACCATCTAATTGGTATTGTTGGGAATTGAGAAACCTCACATGCTGCCTCTGCCTCTGGAAGTTGCTCCTCAGGAAATCCGTCTGACTCACTGTTCCTATCAGGCATACCTCTCAATAGCAAACATTGCCACATCCACAGGGACAGAAAATAAAAGAGCAATATTTATAGAACAGTGCTAAAATTTAGTTTTAAAATAATTGGTTAGGGCCCGATACCGAGCTTAATGAGTTCACTGGCTTTGAATCAGACCCACAAACATACGCAAATGCACATATTTAAGTTATAGATTAATCCTCTTTAAAAATAATTTGTTCTCGCTCAAAACCTTTAGGGAAGTTTTCTTCAGCGTCTGACTCAGGCATAACGGGGACTGAATGATGCCAGAAAACAGTCAGCAAAACACTTGCAATTAATTGCAAAAAGATAATGTTCCATACGTATCACTCTTACAAAGCAGTGACAAAGTGGGGAAAATAAATGTCCAGGGCCTGACCAGCTTTGTGTCTTCTTGCAAAACTATTGCACAGCATGGTTGGTGGACTTTCTGTAACTGGATGTTGCGCTAATGGCCAAGGTGGCTGTGGCTCTGCAAATGGTGAGAAGGAGTTATTTAGAGCACCGGCTGGTGTATTCTCTGTCAGGTAAGATGGCATCTTAGTTTCCTTGCCATGTGTATCCTGACATCTGAGAAACACCTTCACTACATCATGTTACTTGTATATCAGAGTTTCTCCTTGGTTTTATGGCAAGTTGAAATTCATAAATAATCTTGACCATGAACGGCTCAAGAAGGGATGTGTCCAGATCATTTTTCATTAGTTGCTTTTTGAGTTCTCTAAGTCTTGCAAAACTCTTCTGTGACCAGCTCTCATGCTGTCCCCATTCAGCATCCCTCTTCCTTCATCCTGCTGTACCTTACCACTGCTCCCATCTCCTGAGCTGGGTTCTCTCTCCTTCCTAAGCCTTTCCTCTGTCTTCAGCCAGAACACACGCCAAATTCCTTTGCAAGATACTGTGGAAGGCACAGGAAATGTTAACTCATCCATGAGCAAGTTGCAACTACACCTTGGTAGCTACAGACATTGCCTCTGTTAACTGCCTTTGCTGGGAAGGTGCAGGGGGACAAGCCCATTTCCCTCCACAGAGGGTCTGTACCAGGGCAGTTGGTGCAGGGTAACCTGCTCCTGTATAAGGCAACAGCTCCCAGACACCACGGGTGTGCACTATCACTCTGTGTAGTGCTCCCCAGAAGAGAGTTCTTCCACGTTCTGGGCAGTGGTGCTAAAATCCATGTTGTCTGAAGAAAATCCAGACCGCTAGTAAGCAAGCTGCGGTTCATTTAAGCCTTGCCAGATACTTTTTTGGCATGCTTCCATCCTCCTCCAAGGAAAAAAGTAGCTTGGAGAATAGGCAATTGACCCCGAGACTTAAAGCTTCAAGCCATTTTCTGCCTAGATCAGCTGGTGTTGGCATATGCATGGAGTCTTTTAACCCCTGGCCATGCTATCTGCCTTCATCAGTTCCCTGATCTGCACAGGAGCGGCAGCTGGACCAGGACTGGTGGATGCAAGGAGCAGTTTACTCTTGAGAACATCATGGCTGATAAGCACCCAGGTTGTCCATACGCATGCAAAGAGACACATGTAAAGGAGGATGCAATTACCATCATAAAATTCCCATCCCCTGGGAGAAAATCATGGCAAAACTGAAAAAAAAAAATCTACCAAGGAACCAACACCACCAACAAAGCCAGAATAATAAAATCAGTGTGTGCTGCTTTGTGTTTAAAAAACTGAAACATTTAAAAGTAATTTACTGTTGGAGATTTTGCATAGGCACTCCAAAGAGTAAATAATAGCATTCTAATTCTTTCACTTAAAAATAATCTGAGTCAAATTAGAAGTAAAATAAAATATTTTTAAATATAAGGACACTTTATCCTCAACTCTTACACTTTCTTAGGGTATAAAAAAGCCTTGTTAGCACAGAATAAAGTATCTGCACATTTCCTTCTTGGTATTACTATGGACAGCCAAAGAAGACTCAATACCCTTCTGTTGGCAAGCAGACTCAACAGGGACTGTGGGCCAAGGGAGAACAGCACAGATTTTCATACGTAAAGGAAAGGTTTTTAGAAATCAGGAAGAGTTAGGTTTTGGAGAACCTGCGCTTTTCCTCTCATATACTGTATAGTACAAACCAGGTCTACTTTGACCAAAGCTGGCATTGGATGGGAAAGGACATTGTAGCGTTATCAGTCGCTGTATTGCTCCTCAGCACTCCAGGGTTGAGGAGAATTGTTAGCTTGTGACCCGTCAGGTGGATAAAGTTTATACTAGGTAGATGGTTGAAGTCTTACGGGTCAGTTGTCTACCGGAAGCTTTTCTGCACAGACAAATGTGTACGTATGCCAGAAAGTAGCTGGCAGAGTGTAAATTACAGTTTCCAGTAAAGATCTTGAAAGTACCTGCTAAAGTATGTGTCCCACAGAAATCTCTAATCCATATTTCTAAATATAAAAATGACTTCCTGTTTATTATTTTAATCTTATAACCTTACACTTTTTACTTTAAAAAGCACCGTCAGCTACCCTTTTAAAACATGTATTTTTTTTAGACTCAGCAACTTCCTACTCTATTTAATGTCACAGCAACTTTCTCTACAGTCATTCTCAGGTTTTCTTCTTGTAAAACAACAGCAGCCAAACTATAGTATGTTGAAAATCAAATGAGAACTATTCAGTATTTTTTCATAAATAGGTTCTGTGTTTACTGTATAAATCTATATGCAGAGCTATACAGAAATATTGTGGACAGTAGATAAGATTATATTCTGATTGTAAGTCAGGTCTTCTTTACGCCTTTCTTTGTATATACAAACTGTCTAATTTGTATGTGCAAAGCTGAAAATTACATGGTGGATTATGTGAGAATACTGTTGGATTTTAAAACTAGTTGTATTTTATGGTTAAATTCCATAGATTACTTTTGGTTTGAATTCTTCCATCATTAATGATCTTTCTAATTTCAGAAGGATGCTTTTTGAAATTTAAAACAGAACATGTTAAAATTTGGATTTTTTTCGGCTTGAATTTTTAAGGGCTCTCAAGGCAGTCTCCAAGTTTGTGTATTTATATTTAATAAAAACAAATTCATACTACAAATAAAGCACTGGCTTTATTTAAGAAAACTACCCACATATAAATACCCTTCATGTCTAAGGCTTGCTTATTTTTCCAAGAATAAATAAACCTCATCTTCTTTTTTGGATAACAAATATTGAGGCTTGACAAGACACAAAGCACAAATTATTACAAACAGATCCGAGGGAGGGGATTTAAGATTGAAAAGTTGCAATGCCTGGAACAAATTAGATTGTCCACATAGATCACAAAGTGGAAGCAAAAAAAAAAAAAAGCTAAATGTTAACTTGAAATTGGGAATAGAAAATTAAAGTAAAGGTAAATTTACTCCATTGGAGCATCCATAGGTGTTCATACCCTGCCTTCAGAGTAAAATGGCTATATTACTGCTCGTGGTAAGGTTGCTTTGTGCTTCTCTAGACAACACAAAGATGAGTGAGGCCAAGATGCATTCCTATTGCATTGAGCATTGTGTGACTCACTGCATTTTCTCTCGCAGTTAGCGTCTATGTATATCACAGCCCATGAAGAAAGGAACTGCTGATGTTCACAGGAGATTTTTCCCATTTGTTTCCTAAAAAAATAATGAAACAAATTGTGTGATTTTGCTAGCCCGCAAAAATTGCAGTGCTCATACTACATGATGGGAAACAATAGAAATCTGAAGTATGTTTGATCTATGGAAAGTTCTGTTGTCTTGGTCATATTTGGGCATCTGCAGTTCTACATTCCTCTTCAGCTGCATGAAAGTAGAAGGTTCCGGCTATTATGGAGCTGTGATCTGCAGGTCAAGTAACAGTTAGGAATAATTCACTTATGTACTCGCCACTTTAGTGAGAATTCACAAATGCTTAAAACTGCCTGAGCCAAAACCTCAGCCCAGCATTTTTTAGGATAAAGAAGGAGATCATCTGAGCTGCTGCCATATAACATTGGCTTTCATAAGCTGTTCTGAGCCTAAAATAGCTTTACTTCCCACACCTTACAAGCAGAGCTACTTTCCTTTCCACTTCTTTTTTAAAAACCTATTTTGAAGGGATTCAGAGTGGAGCTAAACTCTCTGTTAAAGGGCAGAACGGCTTTGTAATGTGCCATCAACGCACTTGAACATCATGAAAAGTTGATTGTTGACTTAGACCTTTGCAGAGAATGAAGTGCAATGGATTTCTTCCTAGAAAACAAGTGTTATTCTTAAGCTGTTTTCTCTTTTGGCGATTGATATTGGAAATGGCATTTTTACTGGGGGAGTGAGTGCTGGGCCCAAAGACTGCCAGAGCAGTGATTTGGTTTCACTTCAGAGTACTTTGAACCTGACACCCTTAGGGTGGAGGAATGGCCATTTGCATAAACAGTTTACAGGCGAGATGTCAAACACTTTTTTGGGAATTTGTCAAGCAAGACTGCAGAATTGAAGTCTTAGAGCAGTTTAGTAGTAGCCTCTCTGTAACAGCTGTGCAACTGCCAGTGTCCATCGTTCACTTGCTCTACTTTGAGTTTTACACACGTGATTTCCCTCTCTGGCTGCAGTCATATCATGCATACTGCTTTAACGAGAACAGTCATCCCACTGCTTAAAACAATGATGTGTCGGACTGAGTGCATTTCCCACTTATAGTTGAGACTCTTCTGCAATACCAAAACCTGTGCTTTTCAATGAAAGGACATATAGAAACACATGTATTTTTGGTGTACTGGAAGAGTCAAGGATGCCATGTCCGTTCTGGATGTGGTCCAAAACTCACTGAAATGATGAGATTTTCCCCATCGTCCCTGAGACTTTACTGGGGACATGAATTACTGTACTGTAGCAAGCCCTGGGTGCATCTGGTGAAATCCCCACAGAAAGGGGGTACCCCTACATTCAAATACACATTGCACAACTTGCAGTGGATTAAAAATGTTCATACATTCTCATCAAGTTACAGGCCTTTAAGAATCCTAACTTTATTCATCCATTTCTCCTGCTTGTCTCACCAAAAAAAAAAAAAATCCAGGAGCCACAGTGTTGCCTGCTTGTTTTACCAGGAAAGTGCTTGGGTTTGTCTGCCTTTTTTAAAACTCGTCATTTTTTTCATCTCATTTGGAGAATCAAAAGTAGATTCCATGTTCTGTGAGATTTTCTTTCTGCTCTGAGTGTAAAAGTTTGAAAGGAAACACTGTTGTTACTCTTTTGTGTGATATTCTCGTACATGACATTCATTCTCTTGTGAAGAAATGAAGCTCTAGCTTTTGTAGCTTGAGCTCTTTCTTGGCAGTCTGCTACCACCTGCCTCTTTGGGATTATTTTACCTTTGATTTCAGCCCCTTGATCCTCAGATGCTCCAGGAACACCAAGAGCCCCAGCACTGGAGTTCAGCAGTGATCCTAATTCTGCTCCTTTTCAGCAAATACCCAAGAGGTCTCCTGATGAGCTGAACTGCTCAATGGCCTCATCCATCTCCTACTGAACCAGCATCTCAGTGACCTCAGCAGGAGCTGGATCAGATCTTAATTGAATACTGGGAAGATAAATAGGGATTGATTCCAGCTGTAGTTTGTAATATGCCTTTTCATCATAAAATGAAGATAGAAGTAAAATTAATACTGACAGTTTGTTGAATTTTGACCCCAATTCGTTTATTTTGGTCACTGTCTTTTCTCATGCCCAGCTTGAACATAGCTCTAATTCATATACTTTTTAAAAACTGTCAGTCTGTTACTTAGTAATTGGTAATATTTTGTAGTCTTTGCCATAGATTCCTGTTTAAGATGAGAATACCTCTGAATTTTCTTCATACTGTTTTTCTTCACAGATCTTCCAAACAAGTGAAATTCATTCGGGTTGATTTCTGGTGTTACTGGTCTGTAATAGATCAGGATATATTCTGCACCGGGGAAATGCACACAGCCCTTCCTACCCTCTACACTCACAGACACATTAACAGAATGAAAAGGGTTTATTGTGTAGGTTTATAGCAGCAAGCTTACAAGCAAGCTGCAGAATACACAATCCATACACAGTCTTTGAATACACTATTATGTCTCAAGAGCTGTATTGTCCATGAATAGCAGGGAAAACGCAGCCCAGCAGCAAGCACCTGCACGAGTCCCCCTTTCTCCAGTGAAGGTTTTACATAGGACTCAAGTGCAGAATTTTTTCTCAAATGTCATCCAGGAAAAGTGCTGTGATAGTGATCCATGCTGTGTTTCAAGAGGATATGTTATCTAAACAGGCTGTGGGTCAGTTCTGCAGAGCTGATGTTAAAGACGAAGGGTAATTCTACGTATAGCTTCTCAAGCATGTCGTAGTCTTCACTAAGGGAGAAAGAGATCTCAGCACTTATATTTAAGTGGTTGTTGGAGGCATTAGGCTTAGGGAATTAAAAAAAATGGTCCTTTTCAAAAGATATTCCCCTGTTTTGACTGTTTTTCATTTCATGGCACTTTTCAGCAAACCTCATTACATGTATCCACAAACCTCCTTCCCTTCAAGTTTGACAGTGTTAATAAAAAGCCAAAGTTGTGACAGTTCTGCTTGTTGACTGTCTGAGCCTTGAACACAAGAGGGAAAACACGATGACAGTTAACCACAGGAGCTGAAAACTCAGAGAGTAAATACAGTCATTGTACTGAAGCAAGACGACTTGAAATTCTGTCCACAAAGCGGGTTGTTGCCCTCTTTGGGCACTGACTGCGGAAACTGTTATGCTTTGTTTTCCTTCTGTGTCCCCAGCATTGATGATTAGAAAGGAAATTGCTAATAGCTTTTTAGGTAACTGACAGTAGGAGAAAAACCGCAACTAAGTCCCCAGACTGGTTTTGCTTCTTGTTTGTCTTGTGCTGTGGTAGGTTTATGTCAACGGGGAGTGGGTCACCAGCATCGGAGAAGGAGGCAGCTTCGGGGAACTGGCGTTGATCTATGGAACACCCCGGGCTGCCACCGTCAAGGCCAAGACAGATCTCAAGCTCTGGGGCATCGACAGAGACAGTTACAGACGCATTTTAATGGTAAGTTTATGGAGAAGGGCTTGCTTGTGGAGTTGATAATTTTCCTTTCTCTTGTAGTACCAGCATTTTATTCTGTGTTCGGAGTGCAGGGATGATGGAAGGCTGCGCGGTCTGTGTTTCCAGTTAAAAGAAAGAGGATGTGACAGTAACACTGAGTAACTAAATTAGGTGAACTGAAGGAAAAGGGGACAAGATTCAGCAGCAAGATGCTGAGTCAGAAATGCAATTGAATAACATTTATTCACAACTATTATACATGAATGAAAATATCAGGAGGCCTCCGTTACGCACTGAAGCTGTGCAAATCCTTTCCTTCTCATCGTGAACCTCAGAATGTCTTTCAGCACTATCCCTTGCCTCTGAGGTCTTTGTCTGAGCTTGTATTATACTCTTCAAGGCAGGATACAAGGTAAATCCAGCTCCAGTTAAAAAGAAAGTCTTGGTTGGAGTGCATCCTCCATCTTCATTAGCCAGCACACAGCCACACGTATCGCAGGATGGTTAGCTGCAGAGTCCCTGCTAATGATTCATTGCTCTGCTCCTTTCAAACTCCCTCATCTCTGCAGCAGACCTCAACAGACCTCCTGGGCACCTGGGGTGTGTGCTAGCTTATGGATCTGCTGTTGGTTCTGGAGTGGTGAGTTTAAAATGGAAACTTTGACAGATAATGAGCTTCAGCAATGTCATAACTTTATGAGTTTGTGTCTGATATCCATGTGGGTATCTTCCTTCTCCATAAAATAATCCTTTCTTTTTGATAGTTAGCAGATAGAACTCTATGTAAAGCTTCTTTCTCAACAGGACTTGTCTCTAAAAGCTGCATTGTTTCGTTCTGATCTGAAAGAAATTACACTATGCTCTCAGCATAATAAAGGAATGTGCATTTTGAGACAATCTGTATTTTCAAAGGATGTCGTGGATAACATAAAAATTAGCAAAAGGATTGAGTAGATTTTACACTTAAATGATTAGTTCTTAAGCATCAGTGTAAGAGTGATTTTGATTTATACTGTGTGATGTCTGTTGGATGTTTGCATGAAATGTTGCTGGTTTTCACACTGTAATTCATGGGCTGAGTGCTGTGTCACGTAAATGAACATCACACTGACATCTAGGAGAATATATCTGATGGAAATGCACTCTATCCCAAAATATGCGACCTGATTGCTCCAAGACACAATAGGGGAATAATGGTGAGAAGCGTACTGTCTTCTCTCTTGTGGATATCAGGAGGAATAGTTTTTCCCAGTGCAGGGAAGCAGGCAGTTGTAACCGAGACTTTTCTGCAAGGTTTTTCTAAAACAGGAGAAGAGCAGGAGAATTTTCCAACAGCTTTAAGAGGCACACACAACATTAATATGTCACATGTCCTACAAGGATGTGGTGAAGGAGTGTCTGGAATAACTGTTGTGATGAACCTGCATGCTGCAAGGAAGAATCCAAGATATAAAAGAGAAGGAACATAGGAGGGAAATAAATGTTCCTTGGCTTTTTAAGCATAGCTTTTTACAGCTGCCTGTAACCTTGCTCCTGAAGAATTAACGGGACAGGTTCACAGGCCTTGTAGCCTAGAGGTAATTTCAGTTTCATTGGTGTTGAAAACAGTGGTACCTAACATCACTCAAGCCTGTGAGCAGTTCAGGTTTGGTCACGTGTCCAATACCATCTGATAGCAGCCTTCAGAGGATGAATATCTGATGCAGAGACAGGATTTAACTAAAATGGTTTCAAGTCCCAAGTGGAAAAGAGTGTGTTTTTAATTCTAGCTTTAGCCATACATCAGTACAACTTGAATACTGTAGATATACTTCTGTTGATGCTAGTAGAGTGCTAAGTGCTTTTCAAAGTCATTTATACATTTTCTGTACCAGTGACTGCTGTACCTTACCTAGCGAGCTCAGTTTCTGCAGTTGATGAGACCATTAACCTAACATGGAGTATTTTTTCTCTCCCTCTCTCTCCTCTTGTGTTTTTGCCCAGACACTGTAATTGTAGTATTCCCAATACTTAGATAGGAAATAGTTCAGGTAGCATAGTGAATTAATTGCTGCAGTATAGAAAATGTCCAGTTTTAAGTGCTGTCCACGCTGAATGCAGTTTACCCATCCAGACCACATGAATTCTGTCATCTTTTCGTTTATTTGTGGGAGCAGCGTGAATAATGTCTTTGCTGTCGGTGAAATGAGACACCTGTCCTTGTGCCTTCGTGTGAGGGCAGGTTGCTGTGGCTCTGCACATTTCCTCAAGCTTAAGAATTAATTACATCATGTTTCAGTGACTGCATTTCATACTTGAAGCTAACCTCACCATTACCCGGCTGCTTTTGCTGTGCTCAGTTTCAACCTGTAGTAGTAGCTGCCTTTCAAGTCCCAGAAACATGGTTTCCTGCCATTTAGCCTCTAACTTTGTGTTTCTAGAAAGTTGCTGGATATTTGGGATGTAGAAATGCTCCTGCATTTAAATAAGAGGTAGTAATGCTATGGTATCTTTTGAAATATATCATTTAAGATGGTTTTATAACTTGAGAGCGAGCGGGTTTTTCTTTTTTATTTTTTGTTTGCAAGCACTTTTGCCCAAGGGATCAATGACCTTTTTCTCCCAAAGATATGGGGCTTTTCTGTAGTCAGATAAAGCCCCTCCATAACCCGAGCTGGTATTTTCATTTGTCTGCATTCCTTCCTGGCCATGACCAGCCCCATATTTTCTCAGCCTAGTGTTGAAATTTTATTCAAGTTGTAAATATTTATTTGCAAATCATGCCTTCAGATCCACACTTGCCAAAAAGATTTTATCTGTCATGAGACATTTGACTCTCTACCTCATTTTTCCTTGCAGGCTCTGTTTTGCTTCTTTGTTTTGCATTTAGTAATTTCTACTTGTTATTTCTGTTTAGTGCCATTTTCCCCACTTACGTGTCTCATTGATCCTGACTGGTTTATGGTATGAATAAAACGCTTCTCAGGAGGTTGGAAGTTTGGGGTTTCCTTTTTTTGGATGGACAAAGCCTGATGCAAAATGTGCCTGCTGGCTTTCAGTTACACTTGTCATCCATTTATTATTTAGCCTGTCCCAAAAGAAGTTGGTTAAAACAGATATATTTCTTTATATTTCATTGTCTCAGCTGAGGTACCCTGATGGCTTGGAGGTCACATTCAAGTTTGTTTTAGCAGCTGTGATGATTGTAAATGTGGAGATGGTTCTTTTTGTCTGGATTTGCAGTGAAACTGCTTGGCTTTCACTGCCGTCCTTGACAAAGCATTATACCATGAAATTCATTGTACTAGATGGATTACAAAAAGCCACTTCAACATGTTCCCCCCGCAGTACACTCACAAATTATCTGTCCATCTGTGTGTTCCATTTATTTCACAAAACTATCTGTGCTGTGTTGCATACTTTTCAGTCTGTTGCAAATTTTCTTTTATGTATATGTTCTGTGTGCACACCCAAGCACACGCACGGAGTTCTGTAGGGATTCTGTGTTTATTTACTGACATTCTTCTGGGAGAGATGCAAGGGAATTTTTTGCCATAGGATTCTCATGTAATGCAGCTGCTGAAATGTTGCTGCTCTCTTCTTTGCAGTTGGGATTCAAGAGCATCACAGAGTGGGGAACATCCCAGGGTAGTACAATATTTGTATTCTAAATATAGCAAATACCACAAATACCAGAGAAGCAAATGTCTGTATCCCAACATCAGATTGATCCCCCAGACGATTCAGTTCCCAGACTGGGGAAATTTGAAGTATTAATTTATTGTAATTTCTTCTTGAGGGCAGCTTGATTCAGGATTATTTAACTATGCTGTAGTTCCCATGGTCCAAGATACCTGGCTCTGAGAGCAGAGCTGCATGGGATACAATCCTTTCTGCCTATTTGGCAAACTGCGTTCACAGAAAGTGAATTGCAATATTGGGATTTATGTCATGACAAATCAAGTTTAGTCAGTTCCTAATGTTATGCTACATTTTATTTATGCTCTTTTGGCTTTGTTTTACCATTTTTTCACAGCTTTTAACCTGAGAACAGGTTCTTTAACAAGTGTCTTTTTCCTCTCAGACAAAATAAGTCATCAGGACTTTATGTACCTGTAAAATGTGGGCTGCATGGTGACCAAAACATAAAGCAAATCTGAAGACTGCAATCCATCCAACATCTGTGCAGTGTAGTACTGGGATCCTGCAGGCTGTTTTGTTTTCATGGCCAGCACACACGGTGACTCTTTCATGCTCCTGTAAGAATGTACACCCAAAACATCATTCAATATCAGGTTTACACAGGATTTAACAGGGCTGGGGCAGTCCAGAAGGCCATTCCGGCACCTCCTGCCAGCATAACTCTTTTATTTGAAACTTGAGACATGCTTTGTCTTTCAGTAGCCATTTGTTTGGCTTCTTACTGAAGGTGGGAATTTCTAGGAAGGACTCCACCACCTCCAGCCAGTCCATTGCACACCTGAAAAAGTGGAGCAAGAAAAAAAACATGAAGAGTGCTGGTGGGACAAAGCAAAGAGGCGAGCAGAGGGGAAGGAAGACAGAGGCTGGGCTGGAGGAGTGGGAAGAAAAAAATGGAAGAAAACAGGGAAGGGGAAGAAGGGGCACTTGGAAAAGAGATGCAACAGCCCTATTCAACAACACCTGTCATAATCTCTGGGGCATTCATTTTTCCTAGACTCTGTATTACTTAAACTAAGCCTAGGGCTTGCTACATTTTTAACTGTCCTAAAACTGGGTTTGAGCTATTTTCTGGGTGGGTTTGACAAATGCAAGTGATCTCGTTTCTCCTTGGGACTGTTTCAAGGAGGAGCACTGCAGCTTAGCATATTAACAAGTCTTTGTAGTTAGTGGGAACCACTGTCCTCAAGAAGATGAGCTTGTGCATGACAGCTCAGAACCAGGGAGAAAGTGAACAAAGGAAAGGGGAGAGACGAAGAAGCAGCAACTATTGAAATAAGATATTAATAGGTTAGAAAAAGCAGAATTAATAAAGACTTTTTAAAACATGCTATCAAGAACCCTGCCAGTGCAGAATTGTTCATGTACATTTACTATTGTTTTTATCTGGCTCAAGCAGTAAGATTTCTGCTGCTTCCCTTGAGAAACATTTCTGCAAGAGAAGAATTCCTAAGTTGGGAAAACATTTTTTGTATTCATCTTAAATTAGGTTTTCTTAATTTTCTCCTGTTACTTTTGAGTTATGTCAAGTTGTGCTGTACTAAATTGCCCTCTCTTACTGTCATATAGCTGCAGATGGTTATCACTGTCTACTTCAACCCCTTGCACCAACGCGTGCTAGCTATGAGCATGATTCACCGAGGATCCCAGCGCTGAGCTGACCTATACAGGGTGAATTACTTTCTCTCCTTCCTTATCAGCTCTCCCCAAGCGTTTTAGTAGTTCTTCAGGCTCTGTTTGGTTTAGGAGCATTTTTCTGGAGAAGAGGTACTGAGGCAGAATGGAGTACGCCAGGCGCTGTCACATCCAAGCCATGGTGATGGAGCCTTTAAACTTCATCCTGGATGATATCTTTGGGTATACAGACCAGAACAGCCTTGGCTGTACTCTTGGTGCAGTCTGGTGTTGCAAAGAGGGCTCACCTACTGTCTGTAAATCCTTTCCAGCTTTACAACTTTCCAGTCTTCTTCCATTTGTCAAACATCTGTGCTTTGGATTTTTTTTTTCTCTGCATTTCTTAGCTGCATTTTCCAAACAGAAGCTCATTCTATTATTTTCTACTTCCATTTCTAATGTCTCTAGGTTCTTTCTTGTTGTTTTCCTGTCCTGGCAAGATTTCACAGTGTCTCATAGTCTGCAGATATCGTTACTGTCTGATTTGTTGCTGCTTCTAGAAGATCCATGAAAATACTGGGTAAGAACAGACTTAGTACATGTCCCAGGGAGTGCGCCCGCTGACACCGAAGGGCAGTAGAAGAGTTTATGATGGTGTTCATACCCATGGCCTCCACAATTTGGGTAAAGCGACTAGACCAAATGAAATAAGTATAAAAAGGACATCAGGAGTCAGAGGTGACATTATGCCTACCGGAGGGGATGAGAGGGGAATATTAGGCTGATCAAAGAAGGTGGGAAGTAGGCATGTTCTGTCTCTGTTTCATGGGAGGGAAAGATGATTAATGCCAACGGAAATAAGCACATGCTAATTGGTTGGACTTGATCATGGAGGTCTTTTCCAACCTGAAGATTCTACGACTCTCTGCTTTGATTGTTTCTAAGATTTCTACTGCTGCATTGTTTTTAGCTTATATTAGTGTTCTCTCAAAATCTCTTCCCCTCTTTGTGCTTGTGAAAACTTGAGCCGGAAAACACACTCAAGTGAAAACAATGTGCATGAGGGTCAGCCAAGCGTCTCCTTTCTGGAAGAGAAACTGGGATCTGGTTGTGCACATCGGGATCCAGCCTTGTGTGTGAAAATGCAGAGGCAGCTTCTGTGCTTGCCTGGGCACCCTTCGGTGAAGCTCTGCTGTCGGGTGGCTCATGGCATTCTGGAGGCCGTTGTTGTCTCCTCCAGGAGGGACAGAGGGTTGGACAGAGCCATCCTGCGGGTTGAGTCATGAGCCGTCAGTGGGGTCACCTTGGGTTTCAGTGGATCTGCTGGGGAGTAGGACTCCTAAACCTCAACCAGTAGATCTTCCATGGGCTCTTCTTCTCCCTTACCTTTGTCTGTGGTGTGATTCTGAAATACATCCATTAAGTGGCTTCCCATTAAGGTTCTAGATACCATCACAATATAAAAAATGATAATAGCACATTTACTTAATTCTTTCCACTTCTCCTTACCCACTTGCCTTCACGGTGAATTGTGTACCACTGCCCTGGCTTAGTTTAGCCAAGCAGTAACACACCCATTTTCCTGTGGGAAGCAGTGGGCTCTTGCTCTCTGGGCCAGGCGGGATGCCTGCAATTCTTACCTTCCTGGGTCTTGTCCGTGTCTCTAAATACTCGAAGCTGTGGTCAGGCGTCACTTATGGCTACTGATTACTGCTTCTTAAAATTCATCTGTGTCCGCAAGTCATTTAAAAAGCATTTTCCACATCTGTCCCTGGGTGCCCCAACTCATCAAACTAAACCACCAATCTGGTTTTCCACAGCTGTCAATTTTGCCGGTCTCGTTTCCACTCGATTGCAGGGAGGAGAGCAACAACGGCGCAGTGTCCAGTTTTCCGTTCTTTGTCTCGCAGCGAGCTGTCAGGGTCTGGCGTGGTTTGCAGAGCCTCCTCCGTTTGAAGTTCTTTTTTTTTTTTCCCTTTCTGGCACTTCAAATGCACTCAGGGGCCCCCGAGGTTGAGAACCAGGTTTGTCAGACAGAGAGGTCAGACAAGGGTTACCGATGCTATCGCCGCGAGGCGAACTGTCATCGCCAGACTCGGAAATTATGAACGGGGTGCGGAGGAGGAGACCTCGGTAGCTGGTGCTGCTGCTGATCCAGAGATAGCTGGGAAGAGTGGCAGCTCCTGAGGGTGCTGCGGCTGTTTGGGAGCAGGGGTGTCCCCAGGAGAGGGGCAGGAATGGGAGCTGTCCCCAGAGGATGGCACCCGGCAGCTTTCCCTGGTGCTGCGGTCAGAAGCCGGAGCCACAGCGTGTTGGTGTTGGTGGAAGGATTCCTGTTGCTTTGGTGGTCGTTGAGCTGGCCCCACATGCCCAGTGCACGTAGGAAAAGGGATGATGTTGAATTCTTAGTTATAGCATTGTATTTGAGTGCAAGTCTTTCCTGTTTTCACACTTAAAGCACTTCTGAGTGCTTTGGCAGTAGAGGGTAAACCGTTTCTTCTCCTTTTCCTTTGTCTATCTCCACTTTCTACCTCTGCTTCCAGCACTTAGCAGTGCTCACTTGGAGGATGAAGAATAAAGAAGTGGCTTTTTCTGTGGCAGATACGACATCTGATTCTGTCTTTTCTGCCCAGCCTATAAGTAAATGCCATCTTTATTTCCCCTTTCTTCAGAATGTGAGCGTGTCATCACTATGCTGTACTCCTGCCATGTAGATATGACTAGCAGGCACCGGGCAGCCTTTGACATCCACAGGGAATCTGCCCAGGTAGAAACGATGTGGGCTGTCAGTGTGGAATAAACTGCACGGTGCCCAGGAAGACCCTGAGGTTACTCTTTGGTACCTGGGATGGTTTTCAAGTAATTTATATCACTGCAGGAGGAGTTCAAGATGAATTAATTATTTTTTTATTGGTAAAACTGTATCGTATTTATTCATACCTGAATCTCCTTCAAAAATGAGTGCTGGAGTGGTTGCTTACCGTTTCTGTCTATGGTGATCAAGCAGTATGTAAGCAGAAGGTATCTCAGTAATTTATCACACTAAAATCTCAGTCGAGTGGGAATGACTGTGCTGGTGGCTGCACATGGACCGATGGACCGTCTGCTCCAAAATGCTGTAACCTTGTTAAAATAATAATGACGTGAAGGGGTTCCTCAGCAGAAACAATACATACAACGCTGTACAGAATATAAACCAGGCTTACAGATAAATGCTCTTGGCATTGAAGAGGTTTTTACCTAAAAGGATGGTACCCCATGAAGGGGACGTTTTAAGTTTTATCCGACTTTGTCATTGTAAATTCCCTTCTAGCAGGGCCTCATTGGTAACAAGATATATATTGAATTAGCTAAACAGTTAATTGATGAAGCTCTGGCTTTAAAATGAGTGCCTGTAAATAATGGATACAATTCATCCACGGTGTCCAGTAACACCAGTGAAGTCAGTGAAATTACACCAGGATTGAATTTGTTTCCTTCTATCTTTGCTTATCAGGAATACAACTTGCCCAGACATTTTATGGGGAAACAGTTGCCTTAGGCTGTTTATACTGGCTATGCTTAAGATTTGGAAGGGGAGGGAAAAAAAACCCAAAGAGCAGCTGTAGGAAGAAATCACAAAAATACTTTGTGTAATGGTCTACCTCCTTTTTCTCTCTCCTTTAATAACAGGGCAGCACGCTGAGGAAGCGGAAGATGTATGAAGAATTCCTGAGCAAGGTCTCCATTTTGGGTCAGTTGCCCTTTGGAATTGCCTGTTAGTTCCTCTGTTGTACGTGTTGGCGGAATGAATTTTGGGCTTTGATGGCACGATGAAAGCAATGGTGGTCAAACAGAGAGTCTCATGGTTGCATCATTTCCGAAGGAATGAATGTGTAAAGGGCCCTTTTTAGGACTTGTTTTTCTCATTCTTTAATACACACTGAATATGTGTTTGAAGGACAAATCTTTCCTTAAATATGGGAGCAGCCATGGTCACCTTTTTGTAGCTGCTGTTCAGTAAGGATCATATGGCTGGAGGAGAAAGCAGTGCAGAGGTATGAATTTGTCTTAAAGTCTAGTTACATCCTTCCAGGTGACAGGTGAGAAGCCTTTTCCTGTGAGAATACTGTATTTTATGTGCACTAAACAAACTGACCGCACAAATCAAAACGCACTGATTTTTTTTTTCTTCTGTGCATTTTACAGCCCCTGTCTCACATTCTTAAAACATCTGTTTAGCTTCTTGTCCTTGGATTTTGTTTCCCTTTGATTAATGTGATAGCCACGAAATTTGGACATGTTCTTGATGGCCTTCAGTAGGAAAAACAACAAACCCATAATGCCTGACCAATCAATCACCATTAGGAGAACAAAAGCTTCTAATAAGGAGGACAGTGTTAGACAGTACAATGAAATGTTGATGCTGTTGGAGAAACATCATGTTTCGGCTGGAGCTATTTTGAAAAAAAAAACCAACCAGTACAGGATTAATTTGCTATGTAATGAAAATATTTCTATTTCTGTTTAAACAATTTTCTTGTTTATGGTATTCCTCTAATATTCAGCTTATTTACCTGAAATAATGAGAGTCTTAGTGAAAATAAACTTGTACTTCCGAGAGATGCTATGCATGGAATTTTCAATTACATTTGTATGCTTATGTAAGGCCAAGTATGTTGCTTACTTACTTATTAATGAAGTTTTCATCATTTAAATGCCTTATTTTGTGCTTAATTTAAATCTTCCTAAATTAAGAGCACAAATTATACCAAATTACAATGAGTATTTAAAGAAAAAAAAAGATCTCTGCACCTGCACTAATGAGAAGCAATTACAACAATGAGACATCTCAAAACAATTTCAGAGTAGAAAGGTTATTCAAAGATGTGCTTCCTTAAACATGAGGTTTGCAATATAATTATATCCTAGTTTGTAGTATGGCTTTTCAGAGTCAGTAAAGAAATGAGGTAGGACTTCAAGATCTGAACCTTTTTCAAGTACGGAAAAGCACCAGACAAAACGACGCATCGTTTCAGAAGAGTCGAGAATTTAGGTGAAATGTGTAAGGATCTATTTCACATGTCTAAAAAGTAGATGAGAGCTGGGAAACAGGCATTTTAGAAATCTCAGCACAGCACTGAGGAGTCAACTGCGTGCCTTAATGTGGTCAGAACTTGGTGATTTCCTGGTGGAAAAACCTCTACCTGCTTCTTCGGTGTATTTTTCAAGGCTTGTGTAGTGTCTGTAACAAGCCATATAACTGTAAGAGCAATTTATTTTGTTTTTTCATCTAAGGATTTTTTAGATCATCCGTAGCTGCTTATAGTGTATTGAACAAGATAGGAGAAAACTAATTCTTTAAAGTATTTATTCTGGGATTGAAGTAAATGCAAAGCCATGAATTGATATGTTCAATTTAGAAATCGCACATATGGTCTACTTTACTGGATGCTTGACTTTAAATCTGCAACTAAACTTTAGGAGTTTTATCATGTACAATCTTCTAGATAATGCTGTTTCCAAGAACTATTAACCAATGTACTTGTAGTGGTACAATTCCCTTAGACAAAAGGGAGACGCTTCGTGACTGTAGCTAGAATTAGCTCTCAGTTTTCCATAAAGCC